CCCAGAGCTGGCCAAGAGCTCCACTTCAGCCTGTCAGCCAGCCTGGAGCCACACAAGTGGCATTCGAGGGAGGCCAGCCAGAAAGATGCTGCACTTCCCAGTGGTCCTGCACAGCCCAGAGATGTCTCTTAACTGATTGTATCCAAGTTAAATTAATCTTGATATAATTAACACACCACCTGCCACCATTTACTTGCTGGAAAAGTACAAATATTTAGCAGGGCTTCATCTGAGGGTCTTCTAGATTCCCAGTAAAGACTCCCTGGCTGTCTCCAGCCACATCCCCTGCCTAAGAGATGAGTCACGTAATCTTGCAGAAAGGAAACACAGTGCTCATTGTGAACAAAACCAATGCAGGATGCAGTCACTGGTTGTCAAAGGTCACAGGGTCCCCACTGGGTGATGATGTTGTTTCCCAGCCTGTTTTACACCAGAGGACAAGAGGGGGGCATTGCATATGCTCAGGAGGGACTTCACCACCACTAGCCTCATACAAGCAGGGTTTGATTGCATGCAGGCACTGAGCAGCCTGGCTAAAGGCATAAGCAATACCCAAATGCTAATCCAAGCCACTGTGATGACACATCACCAAATCCTGCTTCCATCTCAGACAGAAACGGGTGATGCTGCTCTTCTTTTTACTGGTTCTGTGTGTTTACCTAAGGAAGTCCACAGGGTAGCTCAGTCCTCCCCATCTGGTGATAGTAATACTTCTAGATCTTACAGCACCACCAGAATTTGTTGGCTGATATTAAGGAAATGGTTTGAAGATACCTATCTGTGACATTGTATCCTACAGCTGAGTTACAGTTAAACTCTTCTTGTTTGCTTATTTTGAAATGAATTGCAGTAATTCATGAAAAGTGACACAAACTTACTATGCACATGCCTAAAATCTAGATTTTTTTCAACTACATGATTTTCATCAGAAGTTAGCACAACCACTGTTCGCATGCCTCTTCAGTATTCACAACAAACATTTCATTTGCTATTGTAAACTGGCCCATTATCAGTTTCGTCTATCTGCTCTCAGACTCACTAATTTTTACTCTGGTGTTTCTGTAGAGCTGATGGTAGTGGGGACGGATAGTCCTTCAGCTCCCCACAAACTGCTGGCTCTTGCCCTGGTGCCTCTGCCCCCATGCTGGGCTCTGAGGGAGGAGGACCGCAAGGGCTATGCACACAGCCACTGGGACATCAGCCACAGCAGCCTGGGGTAGAGGTTGGAAAGGACAGCACAAACTGTTTCATTGCTGGGAGGGGGAGCTTTACTGACATGAGAATTTTGTGGGGATGAGTTCATCATGAATGCTAAAAAAAAAAATTGTTCCCCTGTCTCTGCTTGCTGTTATACAACATGTTTCTTTTCTGCTTTTGCTTTCACCTTAAGATCATTCTCTGTTCTCCTTTTATATTCATAAACTGCATGAATTACATGATGAAAAGACTACATACTACATTTCATGTCATTTGTTGCTTAGCATATGCCACAAGCAGAGGGAAATTTTTCTCTTCCCACCACAAAACATTGACATGGATACAAATCTAAACAACCATTCTGTACAGTACTATAAACCACTGGTAGTTTGTCTCAGCTGAGAGGAAACCACATCCCAAAACATTCGCACTTCCCGCAGAGCAGAGCTCCCCTTGTCCCACCAGCACCCGATGAGCAGGAGGGACCCTGCCCTACTCCCAGCCTTCCTTAGACAGGACCAGTGGCTGGAGAGGATGGCGTGACTGTCAGCTCTCTGTGTGGCTCCCCTCCCCTGCAAAGCACCAGCTCCCCACAGGAGGCCAGAGGCACACAGAGGCACCCCAGCACCAAGGGCTCCCTCAGCAACCTGGAGAGAGTAGGGCTGGCGTGGCACAGCCTCACCAAGGCCACCAGAAGCCCTGAAGAGGCAGTACAGGCATCTCTGTTTCTGGTCAAATTCCTGATAGCACCATGTACACCCATACCCGTTCCTCTGCCAGATAGCCCCAGGCCCAAAAGTATCCTCACTATTGCCTGGGTGGTGCAGCGCCATAGTTGGGCTGGAAAACAAGTGCAAATTCAGGCGGGTGGCTCCTTGGGGTGCTGGGTTCACAGGCTGCAGGACAGGATCACCCATGTCCAGTCACACCACTGTTCCAGGGATAACACTGCAATGGTAAAGTCAAGGGATTTTATATGATCACAAACCATCAGGACATTGGTTTTACCCACCATCTGGGCCCACTTGTCTAAGGGTGAGCATGAGAGAGTCACCTCCTCCTTGCAAAAGGAGCTATGCAGTCAAGCATCCTCTCTCACAGCTGAGGTGGCTTAGGTGTCATAAAAAAATACAGATGCGTAAAGATGGGTAAAACAAACCCATCTCCCTGCGTCCCTTCCCTGCACCTCACAGTTCGGGCAAGACACCAGAGCAGGGTTTGGCAAGCTGCGAGTGCACACGGACATGCAGGCACATTGGCACACACGCTCCAATGGGGACTAGTTATACGCCACTGTCCTACAGCCTCTCCTGGACTGACTTACAAATGAATGTCATAGAATCATAGAATCATTTAGGTTGGAAATGTCCTTGTGATCTTTGTTCTCTAGACTACCCAGCTCAGCTGTAGTCAGCAGTAACTTGTTATCACCTTTCCTTTATTTGGCCAGGCGAAAATTTGGAAGCCAGCCTGTACTTTCAGTGAAAACCATAAAGAAACAATTATTAAATAACAGACCTTAAACATTTCCAAAACAAGTTAGAAAACAGATCTTTTTATTAGGAACAAAATCATCGCGGGGAAAAGAAAAAAACACCAAAAAAGAACAATAGCTGGGCATGAACACATACAGTTAAAGGAAGAGCACAGGCTGCATGACTTCTCTCCTGACTTAACAGTAACAAAAACCTTTGCCCCCATTGCTGAACTGGCATCTTCAGCAGGGAAGGACAGAAAACCAGCCATGTCCTATCTGCCTCAAAGAGTCAGATTTCCATCTCAACGGGAAAAATCCTTCCCAGACTGGGGTTACCCCCGTGGTGGTGCTAACAGCTGTCCTCCCAGGGCTGACAGCAGCATGGCAGCACTAGGGCAAGCTGGAGCCAGGACCGCACAAGCCCAGCAGGACAAGGCTGGCCCAGCTCTGCCACCCTTAGCACCCGAAATGCTGGCATTTTCTCCAGTGCACCTCAGAGCACCGTTCAGCCTTTGAAGCATGTACTGGAGTCGACTGTCCCCTGCCTGTCCCTGCCAGAAAGTGCAGAAGAGAAACAAAGCTATGTCCCCCCATTTCAGTGACGGTGGCCCCTGTTCACCCAGTATCACTGCCACTGTGCTGCCTACAGGCAGCTGCCACCCCAAGCGCTTGGCGTCACATTTCTGTCATTCAACTCACAGCCTTTGAGGAATGTTTGTACTGACAGGAGATAGTGCAGCACCATGAGGAAAAGACTTATTATCTCCCCCTTACCGTGGAAAATCTGATTCCTACGGCAGCCTTAAAAAGCAGAGACAGGCTGAATCACCACCAACACAGCACACAAGATCCAAAAATCTTCTAAACAGAGTCACAGGACAAGGAAACAACAAGAACAACCACCTACGGCTGGGCGTCACCGATGCAGAGCTTTGCCATGTACACAGACATGAAGGACTTCCAGGTAAGCATGCAGCCGTCCCGCCAGCTCCCCCACCTGGGAGAGATGCATTCAGCTTGGTTTTGATTTTGCTGGGGTACTTGCAGACTTCGTTGGGTGGCATTTACAAGGCATACCTTAAATGCATTTCCAAGGGATTCATGGCACAACATCAGCACGATATATAACAGGGACAAAATGACAAGGGAAGAGAGGAATGCAATTCATGCCTCCCCATCCTTTTCTTCCCCGATCTGTACCATCTCTGCTTTTACTCTACCATCCCTTTCTAGTGCATTGGGCTACTTTAACACCAACATGCCTCGCAATACCTTGCTCTGGCAGTGCATCCTGCAGCACTCCCTGTGGCCTGACAGCCCTGCAGCCACTGGCAGCTTTGCCAGGGACTCAGCTACCTGCTGCCTGGGACTGAGTCCTTGCCCTCTCCTCACCTCACCTCATCCTTCTTCCCTGAAGGTCTACCCCAGCTGGTGCCGCTTTCAAACCTCCCCTGAGCAGAACAGGACGTGTGTAGCAGCAAGACTTGCCTAAGAGATTCTATAAATTGCTGCTGTCTGTACAAATAATACAGCACTGAAAAAGCCTACAAGCACAGGCAGATGGCTAGCTTAATCAGCTTGTAGCTAAACCATTACACCAAAGGCACTAATACTTGCACTGATGAACATTCTCAGCGTTATAATCAACATTTCTGTCAAAATTACACACCCAAGCCCCAGGCACCCTTCTGCTGCAAGCAAGCAAGCTAGTTGACAGAGCTGTTTTAACTCACTGGCAACCCAAGCAGTTAGGTTCTGGCAAAAGGTAACCAGTAGCCCCCTGCCATTACAGGTTATTGAAAGGCGAGCAAGCCAGTGTCGCCTCCTGGGGTCTGCACACAGCAGCCCCTACCACCACTCCTGGCCCCACACAGCAAGCGGTGAGGGCCAAATCAAAGGGTCTGAGCTCAGAGGAGTGATTCAGATAAACACCCGGCACAGCAGATACCTAGCTGAAACCTCCACTGAGATTTTTTGGCAGGGCCTGTGAAAAACGCCTTGAAATCTCCTGAGAACAGGCTTTCTCAGGAAATTTCTGGCAGGTCCTTGTTTCTGTCTGGGACTGGCAGGCCACCTCAATCCACCTGTCATGCCTGCCCCTTGCAGGAACTGCCAGCTGGTGAAGACATGGCAAGGCATGTGGTGGGCAAGGAGCAGGAGGAACCACCCATCTCATTTCAGGCTGTCCTCTAGGGCTCCACAGGTTAACTGCCAGTCTATTAACAGGCAAAGCATCAAAGAGCTGCCCAGTTTAGTTTGTTAGTGAACATGTCAGCCCACAGCAGCATGGCCTTGAAGCCACGCATGTGCTTTTTCTTACTTTTTCTTTTTTTTTTTTTTTTTAAATGAGGTTAGTAGGCCTGACACCTCACATCTTTCCCTGCTAAAATTTTCCAGAACAATTCTTACACACAATGAGACTATGGGATGCAAAGGACGAGTGTCATAGGCTTCAAGACAGGGCGGAATGGCAAGCACACCAGATCAGTCATCAGCTGGATCCGGGAAACAGTCCGAGGCGTTTTCCTGGCTTTCCACATCAATTATGACCGCTGGGTCTGGCATTTCCTCAGGTTCTATCTCCACTGGCAAATTTTCTTCCACAGGGGGCTCAGGCTCAATGCCTTGACCAGTCTGGGCAGCATCTGGAAAAGAAGGGAGAAATGGTTTATAAGTGCCTGCACTATGCTCACACCCCCATAGAAATCCTCCCGCCAGTCCCTGATGCCACAGGCTGCCTAACCTGCACAGTCCCCTCTCCCCAGGCATCTGCAAGCCAAATTTCAGTTTTCTTTGTAACTGCTCATTTATTGAGCTGTTCATCATAGCTTTGTTTTGTAAGACACTTTGGTGCTGAAACTCTCCGGGCTCAACTGGCCAAAATGTACCAAAATACCAAAGCAAAATCTATTCAGTCACATCTGAGTAATTAAAGCTGGCTAACAGCACACATGTAATATGTTCTCACCTAAACACTTTCCACACGCATCTCTGCTTTTTACTTATTTGAAGAAAATATAAACAGGGGATACCTTCTTAATCAAACTGACAATGTGGAGATTTTTTTTGAAAAAAAAAAAGTTCTACACTTTAAGTATATTAATATTAAACATGATCTGAATTACTTAATTTTTTTTTTCTTTCTCACACTATGTTCATGAGTAGCATTTAGTATTTTGAAAGCAGGGCAAAGCAACATCCAAGGTTAGACATAAAGCACAGCTGAGCTGCTGAGAGGCTGTGCATGGTACAGTGAAGGATACCAGAAGTGGAGACAGCAGTGCTGAGACCAGGCTACAACCTATGTAATGTTGCTCCAGTTCATGATGTCGCTGCTAGACCTACTTCAGCTGATGATGGTGCATTCCCAGGGAAGGTGTTGCCACCACTCATGTTTGTGGAACAAAATTAAGGGAAACATAATGCAAAAAGTAGAGTACTAATATCAAGCACTCACAAAACAGGATTCTGAAAGGATTTTATCGCTGCACTCTCTTGACCATACTGTGCTAAAGCTGTGGGGTTGTATTCTTGATTTCTTGAAGGATTTAAAATGTGACTGTATTCCCACTTTAGCACCAATTTAAGGAAACACACAAGCCTCTGACTTTGATGGGATTTAGCTGTGTTTCTAGTTCAGCATATTGGTGGATGCTGTCCTGAAGATGACTGCTTACAAAAACAATGCCGATTCTTATAAAATGTTACTGATGAGAAAAGCGTAGGGCGGTGGTGGTGGTGATAAAATTGCAGGAAAACTGCTAAGTTTGGAGGGATTGCTGGTTTTGAGATGTGTATTTTAGCACAGGAAACACTGGAACAGTCTGCAGTCTGCTGGCAGTACCCTCTGCAGGATACTTATGAGACGGCTGCTGCTACATCTCACAGCTAGATGAAGGCAAGAGCTACTCCTGTGCAGAAGCTGAGCACAAGTAAGGTACTGATAAATGACCTGCTGCAACTTCTGTCGTCTGGACAAGATGAAGCATGTTCCCTGCACTAGTGAGTGAGTCCCAGGCCCCTCTCTCCAGTGAGCTCCTTCCCCATCAGTCACACACATCCATTTTTTCCTTCACCCTCCTGAACAGGCTATCTGTCCAACTTAAAACAAGTCACTGGACCCACCAGGCTTTGAAGGACAGTCGATTTGGGCAGCTTGAGCCTCAACGTGGTCTCCATCAGGGGGGCTCTTCACACCTTCACTGGAGACCACGGACATTGTTAGTCCATCATCCTTCTCCTCCTCTGTAAAACCAAAATCAGAGACTTGAAGGAAAGAGGTCCCCTGCATCCTAGCAGCCTTGGCACACTGACTGCGAGGCCGGACTGCCAACACATGCCTGCGTCTCCTCCTCATGTGGCACTGACTCCATTCCTGGAGCAGAGAGATGCCAAGTACGGAGAGCCGCTGCCAACCTGTCAAGAGACCAGCTTGACCATGCTGGCAGGACCACAGCTTGAGGTGGCCTCACTGAGCATGGGCAGACTGCACTTAGGGACTGGTGCCGACAAAGGACTGCCAGAAGCCTTCAGGTCCTTTCAGGATCAGACCTGAATGAGGCTCAATTTTCTTGCCCATAGAAAAGGTTTTGCTGTGTGTCTTTCTGGCCAGGAGCACACGGTGGCAAGCATGAGGTGAAAAAAGGAAAAGCAAGGTTTAATTCAAGACCCCACTGGTTGTAACAGTTGCCTGTCAGCAAGCAGCCTTCTGCTCCACTGGGTCAGGGGAGGCCTGGCTAGAAGACGAGCAGCCACCAACCTGAGGCCATTTCAACCCCTTCCTGCACACACACACAGTCCTCTGTGAGACTCATCCCAGGCAGCAACAGCATTCTCCACTCACCTGAAGGCACTGGGATGAACTTGTGCTTCCTCTTCATGCAGCAACATATGACTGAGGACACAACCACCACCAGGATAACCGCACCCCCTGCGCATCCTGCCAGGATGTAAATGAACCACGGGTACTGCAGCAGGTCTCCTGCAAGAAGTACAGGGTGCTGTTAGTTTTACCAGGGTGGAAAAGCTTCTTCCTCCAAACCCCGCAGACAGATTAGAGCATGTGGGCATTATTATTGCATTACTTTGGTTTGGATCAGGGGAGCTGATATTATGAACTGTGGCACATCATAATTTATGTCACATCATTTAACTATGGTATGAAATTTTTCATTAATAAGAGAGGCTTGTGTGGCTATGCTGTGTGCATTTATTTCTGTGTACTCTGACCAGTAACGTCTAAGATAATTTGTAAGTTTTAATCAAATTTAATAGGGAAGGTGGTGGTTTGAAAGATACTACATTTCAACAAGTTTTATGAAAACAGGCAGCTGAGGAGAGAGACCTAAACTAGCATCTCCTGCTTAAAGACAAGCTGCAGAGTCTACCCTCAGAGCTCATATTAGGCCCCAGAGAATCCACTTAGGACAGCCATGTAACGACTACACCAACCTCAAAGCAAGTCTGATCAGAGCCTGCACTTCCTCAGGCACCAAAGACTCCAGCCACTGGGGTCAGAGCTGTAGGAACCTGGCTTCACCGCTGCTCAGGGAAAGATTTCTCTTTATTCCCCTTCCCAACCGAGATCATGCGAAATGCCTAGCAGGAGGCTACGGCTACAGATGGCTGAGCAGAAGGCCATGCACAAGTCGGTGGTAATTATTACCCAGCTCAGAGTCCTTTGTTCAGGGTTGCTTTGACAGTCAGACTTGTTGCTGAGCAAGAAAGCTGGTAGAGGGCATCACAGACTTGCAGAAAAGAGACACCCGTCCAGACTGGAGCCTTCACTAAGACTATTTGCTCAAACCTGCAGTAGCCAGTAGGAAGACTCTTCTTCCCGCTATGAAGAAAACATAACTCAACTATCACTATACTACAATTTCCTTGAAACTCCTTAGGTAAACCCAAGCCATCCCTTTTTAAATCCCATTTTAAATCTTTTTGTCTGTGCGCATGCCTGCACAGCACCACACTGGGGAAACCAACAGGCTCATTTAGAGCTTGTTTTTGAGATCCCAAATGCACAACTTACTGCATATCCCTGGAGGCTAGGAAGTGTTTCAAACGTTCCAGGACATACTACATGCTGTCATAGTCCACATACTCACCAGAACAGTGAAAACAACTGTGGACAGCTGCTCCTGTCTCAAATATTCAAAGCATTTTCAGAGTGCTCGTTCCAGTCTGTTTAGGAACAGTTACCAAGTTCAAAAAATCTATACTCAAAATTAAATTTTCAGCAAATGAGAAACAATTTGCCTAATAATTTTATTTCCTTTTTGATGAAAGCTTAGAGAATATTGTCAAAAGCATAAACATATGTTGGAAATATTTTTCCTAAAAATTTGCCATTTGTTAAAAAGGTCTTTTTGATACAATATTGTGTTAAAAATTGGTAATGAACAAGTAATAAAAAAAGTAATGAATAAATATAAGCCTTTTATATATGATGACTTGTTAATTTCTGAATCCTCTGCTTTAGATACTGCATGATCAGAGCCCTTCGGTGCCTGGGAAGTTTACAGTATTTCTGCCAAATTGTTTTACGCTAGCAATTATTCAAAATTAATTTAATTAGCCAATAGGATGCCCAAATAGGTGCTTTTACATAGATCTTATACCTACAGTGGAAAAATGTATTCAGCCCTTTGCCTGGAGCAAATAATAATCCACAAAAATAATGAATTAGTCTTTAATTAATTTAAACTTAACTCATTTCTCTCTTCATTTTATTAGTATCCAGAACTGCTTTAGTTCACTTTTACAAATGTGGTTGCATTTGGTGACTAAAAAGTAGAATCACTGCTACTTTCTTGCTCTCAGACCCTTCCAAATAGGTGTTATTGTGCGTGTCCATCCCAACAGAGCTATCACTAAATTCCCCTGTGGGCTTTTCAAGAGGAAATGGGGAACTGATATCACACACAGGGGACTGGGCAGTCACCCAGAATAAAAAATGGTAACTGTCAGCACTTGCATGATTTATCACAGAGCTTGACTGAACAGCTCATGGATGTTTGCATCCTCACTCCCCAGTGCCTCAGCCAACTTGGGTCTGACTACGCTGAACAACCTCTGATCAATTTAACTGGACAAAATTAAAATCACTGCTCCACAATCACAAATGCCAAACTTGTACAGATTGGCCAGCGGCACCAACACAATCAGGCATGAACAGCCCATGGCATTTCTGTTGAATGCCAGCACACACGACAACATGATACAGGGTTTATATCAGTAATTTTGCTTTCAGATCAACTGTATGCCAACCATAGAAGAAAAGACAATATCTGCTGTAGAGTTGGAGTGTCTCAGACCTAATTTCTAAAATGCTAGGTGCTATTGCACAGTACAATTTCTCTAGTAGCAAAGGTGCTTAAATCAATTACAACTAAATTATTCAAAACCCTTATGGTTAAATTATGCCACCCTGACGTAGTTTTGATGACCATCTTCGCTGCTGGAGAGGAGAAATACCTTCACTACTGGAGATGCAAGTGAAATCTCACTCAAGGTTATCTAATCAAATTATTATCATTATTATTATTTTCTTCTAATAAATGTGAGCTTACAACAAACACAGACCACTGCTTTGCATCATGAGGTTCTGGCAGTTTTGATCAGTCCTAGGATCTGGATTTTCTGTCTCATTAAACTATGGCCTCATTGAAGCAGAGTACTCGGCATTTATGGATAACTTGCAAATGGGTAAAGTCACAGCCTTCTCACAGAACTACATATCCAACCAGGGACATGGAGGGAAAAAACCCTACATTCTGTGTCTTTTACTCCACCTCTGATGGTGTGGGCCTGGTAGAGAGACATTTGTATAGACTGGTAAATCTTTGTGCAGCTGGCCTAGATATGGACCTGAGTCCAGCAGCAACAGGGCTGAACTAGCAGAGGTGTTTTTACAGGGATGTTACAGAAACTGGAAGGCGGCCATCTGAGTAATGGATGACCATCAGAGTAGGAAATAGCTCGTGTTTCTAAATTGGCATAAAGGTTTGGTGCACAGGAGGGTGCAAGGTCTTCATCACTGGGAAGTAGGAAAACAGACAGATGGATATCTGTCATTGCTGCAGAGTTGGGTAAAAGGACCTCCTGAACAAACTTTCATCCTTTCTATGGTTGTAGGCTGTGTCAGTCTGAGACACAGGAGGGAGAAGGAAGTCAAGGGGACACTTTCTAAAGGGAGGATGTGGTAAATCTGGAAGGCAGCTGCCAGAGGACAGAAGAGTTTGGTATTATGCAGACAGCAACAACAAAAGGAGATTTTCTGGAGACACCGTTACTCACCATAACTGCAGGACAGCACAACGGGCCTGGTCCTTGTGACACTGTTCCCATGGTAAACCTCACATACAAATTCCCCAGGCACGGTTTTGTCCAGGCGAACCTTCTTCCCACCATCCTTAATGCAAGCCTCAGGGGTCTTCAGCGCAGTGCCATTCAGCAGCCACTGAAAGGTGGTGCCCTTGCTGCTGGTCACGTCGCAGGACAACTCTCCAGTCCCATTAGGGAAGCACTGGACACCAATGGCCGGCTCTGGTCACACACAGCACAGGGCAACGGGAACAGGGAGGAAAAAGAGAGGTGAGGGGCGGACTCAGCAGTGAACATGAGCTGGATAGGAGCTTCCCTTACTGGCAGTCTTACTACCATTGCATTTACTGGTAGCCAGGGAGCACAGAAATAAGAAACCAGACTCTTCAGTGCCTGCTCCCAGCCCTGAAATGCTTAGCAGTGCCCACCCAACCCTGACAGTGACTCTTGGTCCCCTTTTTGGGGATGCCACAAAAATCTGGCATCTCTTCATTTTCCTTACTGAAATAGAAAAAGAGAAAAATAAAAGCCCCTGATCTGAGAGGACAGTGGAAACACCCAAAGCATTTGCCAGCCAGAGGCTTCCTCTGTAATCAGCAGGTAACTGTAGCTTCAGAGGAGACTCAGCCCTCTCCTCCACCAGAGGTTTGTACTTTTGCTGTCACTCTGCTTTTCCTTCCATTGTAGAGAGGAACCAGTACAAATCATGCCCAACACAGGTACCAGCACCAGACACCTGCAGTTAGATAGGACCCCCCAGACTAGGACAATTTAAAATGAAGTAAAAAATCATTGATCTTATTACATTTTCCTGAATTTCCCTCTTTCAGTCTACTAAAAGGAGCCAACCTATTTCCTACATTTGCCACTTTGCAAATACAGACTAGACAGAGAAGTAGTATGGTTTTATGACAGTAAGAGTAACATTGAGAACATCTATGCAAACATCCATGTAAATAAGGTCAGAAATCACTTTCTTCAACTAGGACATCATCTTGAGCTATAATTCACTGCCTCCAGGAATACCTTTGCTATGAAATTGTTTCCCCTGACTTAAGCGTGGCAACAGAACACAAGGAGTAGACAACACTTCCCAAAGCAAATCCACTGAAATGGACGTTAAACCCAGGACACTTCTGCAGTCTTTGCCTGCTTCCAGTCTAAGCCCCTGATCTTCGTGCCAAGAAGTCACATCTTTGACCTACTCTCCATGGCAGTTCCGCCTGTTTGCCCCCGAAAGGTGTAAGGATTCATTTGTCTTCACTGAGACCAGTTTGCTCAGACATTTTCATTACAATTTCATACGCTTCAATTTCTCTCAGAAGCTTGTGTAAGTGAAAGCCCTGCAAAAGGGACGGTGGAGATGAGGACCAGAGCAATGGTCGCTGGCTGTCTGGAGCGCTATTCAGCAGGGGGGCAAACCCATTTAAGGTTTCTCCATATTAACCCAAGCTGGATCCTGTACAGAAGGAACTTTATTTCCATCTTCTCACCCCACAGATGGATGAGCAAGCACACGACAGGGACCAGCAACTCTGAGGCCACAGGGAGGACAGCAGGGAGACTGGCACGGTAAGGTACCTATCATTGGCCTCTGAACAGACCCAGAAGATGCTGACCTCCAAGCTGCTCAGGGGCAGCTAAGAATCAGAAAGTCACACCCGGATTCCTTTAGTACCTTTCCTCAGCTGCATGAAGCAGGGGAAAAACCCAGCATGCCTCAACCCAGACCTGCACAGCAGCTCAGTTCAGTTTCCAGAGCCAAGTCAGGTAGGGTTAACTCCTTAAGGAAGCATGTCCACAGGCAGCAAAATGCTGTCAGTCAGTCAGCTTTTGTGAGAGCCATCAGGAACAGTACTCTGGAAATGGACTGAAATCTCCAGTTACATGTCTACATACTGTAAGCTCAACTTTACAAACACTTCAGGCTGCTGTCTCTTACATCAGGGAAAAACAGCACGTAGCTCGACTGACGAAGTAGCACATGACTACTTCAAGGAAGGCTCAACAGACAGGAGAGACTGACAACGCGGACGCAAAAAGCATCCCCTAGTTTACACTCACTATTACTGCCCCTTGAGGTGCCAGAGGCTTACAAAGCTGTTCCAGAGGCACCTATAGCTCCTGCAAGCTCAAGTGGTCTCTCAGGAAGAATTTTAAGGCACCAGCTTCCAAGCTAGGCTCACAAGTTCAAAAGCTATTTGTTGCTAAGAAGGCCACTTACCAAACACTTCCAGTGTAAAAGTGCTGGTGGTGTTGTGAAAAACAAACTCGTATTTTCCTTCATCCTCTTTCTCCACGCTCCTCAGCACTAGAGAGCCATTCTGCAAGTTCAGGCATCTGCTGGCAGAATTGCCGCACTTGGCCAACAAATTATCATTTAAGACAGTTGTCAAGCATTTCACATCCCTCTTGCTCATTCTGGAGAGGTTCTGCAGACTTTGAATTCCCACAGAAAAGACTGCTGAGCCGCCGCTGAGCACACCGGTCCAGGTGACTGAGCCTGAAAGGAGAGGCACAGAGTGTGGGCAGCAAGCTTGCCGTGTCCATCCATCCCCTCTCAGCTGCATCCCAGAAAGGCAAACGTCCAGGGGAGATATAAGAGGGACAGACCCACCCCCAGTGACAGGCTGGGGTCACCAGTAATTGAAAATCAGAGGAGTGGGAAGCCTTCTATAAAGGCCAACTTACCCCCCTGATAACATGGGAGTAGTGTGCAGACCATGCGCACAGGGTGACAAAGGGCTGAGCAGCTGGCCTTTTCTCTCCCCAAATTTGATGAGACCATCTACCACCCCCCATCAGAGCTGAGAGACTGCAAAGATCCTCAGGGCATCAATGCCATGGATCTTACGCAGAGGGCAGCAAAAACAACAGCTGCCTGCACAGCTGCTTTTACTCAAAGAGTAAGGTCACAGTTTTAACTTGAACAAGTCTCACAGTATCCTTGCACATTATTAAGTTGCTGTACGCAAATCAGAGATGGGTAAATGGCAGGGTGACAGCAGCTCGGAGACTAACCCAAGGTCACACCAAGCACTAGGAGTGGGACCACATTGCTCTCCAGCCCCTCCAGCCAGCATTCTGCGTACAAGGACCTTACGTTCTCTGCTGAAATGCTTTTACAGATGCAGTACACTGAGAAAGTACTATATTGTTAGTTATCATTCATTTACTAAAAAAATAATCTGTCTTACTTTGGTCTGACTGCCCCTTTCATGCATTAGCAGTTAAACTATTTGACTTCTCCCCAAACCTTGTAGAGTCCTTAAAAGATCCTGGAGCAAAATTAAGGAATCTGTTCACCTAGGCAAATCTGTGCCAACTTCATAAAGAAAAATCCCACTTACCATGAGGAACAGTTATTATCACCAGCAAGCACTGCAGAGTAAAAGAAGAGCTGAAATCCATTTTAAAGATCTCCTTGCATCATATGCTGAGAAGACGATCTGGCTACAGAGCTCAGTGAATATAGCGTTCAGGAAATGATGTCAGAAGCAAGAGTAAAAAAAAAAGAAAAGAAACTCCATAGTGGACAGATTGAATAATGTTTCAAAATAGACCTGCAAGGTTTTGGGTGACTGAACTCAGGCTGAACCAATGTGAGCCACAAAGTGCTCTGCAAAGTCCTGCACCTTGGAGCTAGCTGCAAGTGTGAGAATAGGGCTGAGAGGTGAGGAGAGACAGAAATATCTCCTGGTCAGCTCATCCCATTTAGGAAGATGCTAACGCTGAGAGGCAAAGGCAAAACACCTATTTCTTTCATCCTTTTCCAGTTTGTCGAAGTACAGCATTCCCATCCAGCAAAATTAGTCCAGTCAGGCAAAGCAACGCACATGCAGACCAGCTGATTTTCTGAAACACCAACAACCGTCACTCATGGAGAGTCTCACCAGCAGCAGGTGTGGGAGAAGGCTCTCCATCTGTATGCAAAGGCTACGTTCCCAGCCTGAACTTGGCTGGGCTCTTCTAGTGACTGAATGGTACCTGCCATACAGGAAAGAGCTCCGTACAGCCACCCCAGGCAAAGAATAAAGGTTACGGGACGTTAAGTTGCATTGCAAAACTAGACTGAACGCAGCCCGAAAGACACCCTGGCTCTGTTTGGAGTGCGGATCCCAGAGACAAGACTGAAAAGCCAATCTTGAGGAACTGCTGTGAACCAGTTATCTACAGGGCCACACCGGACCAGATACTTCATTCACACTCGCTGAGATGGCTTAAAGCACTCTGGCATTTTGCAGAGTGCCGAGGTGGATTTCACAAGCAACACAGCAGAAACCCTCTCGCTCACTGGAGGAAGTAAACTGCCATAGCATTAGAGCCAACATCTGGATTTTTTTTAGATGCACTTAGCAGATGTGCTGGGGAATAACTATGACAGCAGTTGAGGATGCAGCTGGGAATCTTATACTTCCGTGCTGTTTCTCCAGATGCAGCCCATTAAGGAAGATCCACACAGTGGAATTACACGTATACACACATTTCTGTGAAATGGTTAAACCCGTTGTATTGTGGTCTGCACTATTTTTCAAACAATTTGGCTCTGCTTGATAATTCCACATTTCGGCCACTGGTTTGGCCCTTCTGACTTCTTAGCAATGACAACTAATCTCACCTCCTGCTCCCAGTGTCCAAAATTTACAAGTTTGTTCAAGGCTACCATAGCACCATCCTGTCTTTAGGACGATCAGAGGGCTGGAGCACCTCCCATATGAAGACAGGCTGAGAGAGTTGGGTTGTTCAGCCTGGAGAAGAGAAGGCTCCAGGGAGACGTTATAGTGGCCTTCCAGTACTTAAAGGAGGCCTACAGGAAAGATGGGGAGGGACTCTTTATCAGGGAGTGTAGTGATAGGATGAGGGGTAATGGTTTTAAACTGAGAGTAGATTTAGATTAATATTAGAAATAAATTCTTTACTGTGAGGGTGGCAAGACACTGGAACAGGTTGCCCAGAGAAGTTGTGGATGCCCCATCCCTGGAAGTGTTCAAGGCCAGGTTGGATGGGGCTTTGAGCAACCCGGTCTAGTGGAAGGTGTCCCTGCCCATGGCAGGGGGGGGGGAACTACGTGATCTTTAAGGTCCCTTCCAACCCAAACCATTCTATGATTCTATGATTTATCATATGTGCATAGGACAGGCCTAAATTGATCTAAGATGTGACAGAAATAGCCTTCTCTGAGAAAAGCAGTGAAGTGAGTCTTCAGACGCTCAGAGCAGTGCAGAGGAAGGGGGAGAGAGAAAAGTATTTACAGTAAGAAACACTTTCATTTCCTTCTGTGCTGCTAAAATGACATGAAGAAAATTGCTCTCAAATACCACTGCAAGACTAGGGCAAACCATCTGCCTCGGATGTGCACATTCAACTTCATTTCACCTTCATGCTTGAAGGGCAAGCTGGTGGAGCTTAGGGTTGCAGTGCTCTGGTGGAGACACAAAACAGAACAGACAGCATGTGCAGGGTCGCTTCAGAATAGCACCCCAAAACGTTCAAAATCTCAGAAAAACAATAAAACACAAAAGGGGTGCGCATACAGCCAAATCCAGCAAAGTTCACCTTCTCCTCCAGCCAATGATAGCAGCCTTACAGAACTCTTACAGATTTGCAGTAAAATCAAAGAAAAAATACGGCCTTTCTACTGTAGCTCTGTTGTTACAGAAGTGACTCTGCATGACTGTGACATTGCGGTGTCCTGTATTTAGTCTCCCTCTCAGTGACTCCAGGGCAAACGAGTACATTTACGAGTTCAATATTTCTGACTGCAAGTGCCCCATACATCATGCAGTATATGAAGTCCCATTAGGCTCCTTCTGTCCCTCGCTAGCTTAAAAAAAAAAAAAAAAAAAAATCCTTCTGACCCTCACTAGCTAAAAAAATTTAAAAAAAGAAAAAAAGAAATCACAGCCAGGATAAAGATGACAGCATGCATACTATCTGTGTTGTCATCAATCAGCAACCTCCTTTTAAGAGCAACCCTCTCAAATTTCAGATATAACGAATGTTTTAGATGAGATTAGACAATAATTTCTAACATTGGCTAATAAACACTCACAACACCCTTGGCTAGCCAGAAAACTTACTTCCCCTTTTTATATAAAGATGCATAAAGTTTTGTGTGATTACTGCAGACAAAAAACACCTTGTGAGGCTTAACAGAAACCACAAGTAGAAGAAGGGGGAAAAAAAAGACAAGAACTTGTAGTTGGAAGGTGAACTAAAGTCTTTTTTACTTGGTGAGCTGTAAGCTCACAGGGCCATTTTGACCTTTCACTCACTGATGGCATCATGAAAGGAGAATGGAGATTCATTCCTTAGATGACATGAGGCATTCATGGAGCATGGGAGATTGGAAAACCTGAGCTAGCAAGTAAAGCAGGAAATAAGCTGTGAAGTATTATGAAGAAATTTATACATACTAACTCTGCACATCTTCCTTTCAAGAGGCTGGTAAGCATAAGCAGCACACCTATTTTTACTGTCATTAATGCATGTCAGCATTAACTGGGGAAATACACAGGCCTAGCCTCACACTGACGGAGTCGGCAGAGCTAAATGCCAGAACTCAATGCGTGGCGACAGAAGATAAGCCCGCGGCTCTGGCGATGCATGGAGCTGGCTCTGCAGGCTGCTGAGGGCTCCCTGCCCCAGCACCAGCCCCAGGCCAGGAAGCACTGCTGGCTGCAGGCAGTCTGCTCTTCTGTCCATTTGTCCCCCTGCGAAGGAGCGGCATGACCATGGCTACACCACAGCTTGCCAGGGCAGGTATAACCTGGACTGTGCAGCACTGGCAGGCGGGAGAGGCTTGCAGCCATGTTAGCTTACCTGTCCAATCCACACCTACAGCTCTTCACGCATGAGACTTTTTTTTTTTTTTTTTTTAAAGCACGCTTGAGTGGCTCTTGGGAGAGTTTAACTGTGCAGCCACAAGGCAGGAATGGGGGGCAAGCCTGAGAAATGCTTCTGTGTGGGGGAAGCAAGACCCCAGAGACTGATGAAGATTCACATTCATAAGAACATTAATTCTTTCTTTGTTAAATGAAACTAGCCAGAGAGCTATGCTTGACCTCTGAACTCTTTCTTGATCAAAGAAATAGCAAGCAAAAAATAGCAAAGACAAACACAGGAAGGTGTATGCTTACGTGCTGATAAAGAGACTGTCATGCACTTTGTTCCTCTAAGAGCAAAGCTGTGAAATCACAGCTATTTTACAACTCATTTAGCAACTGGACACGCATAATCAGGATACTCCTGTAGATCACATTCAGAGCAAATGGCTTTTGGACAAAATAGGCTGTACTGGCATAGCAAGAAGAGTGACCAGGACCTCCGGTCACAGATGAAGGCCCTCTTGCGTCAGGGACTCGACAGCCCCACACAGATCTGTAAAATGGAAATAAACCTGCAGACTCCCAGTAACATCGACATACATAGGCTTTCCCAGGCAGCCCCAAAGTACAGGCTTGCCAAATACCATATGCTCTGCATGAGACCTGCTCCACCGGC